GCTTCACAACAACTTCGTGACTGTTCTTGAATGGCCCAGCCAGAGCCCTGACTTAAACCCCATTGAGCATCTCTGGAGAGACCTGAAAATGGCTGTCCACCAACGTTTACCATCCAACCTGACAGCACTGGAGAGGATCTGCAAGGAGGAATGGCAGAGGATCCCCAAATGCAGGTGTGAAAACTTGTTGCATCATTCCCAAAAAGACTCATGGCTGTATTAGCTCCAAAGGGTGCTTCTACTAAATACTGAGCAAAGGGGCTGAATACTTATGACCATGTGATATTTCAGTTTTTCTTTTTTAATAAATCTGCAAAAATGTCAAAAATTCTGTGTTTTTCTGTCAATATGGGGTGCTGTGTGTACATTAATGAGGAAAAAAACGAACTTAAATGATTTTAGCATATGGCTGCAATATAACAAAGAGTGAAAAATTTAAGGGGGTCTGAATACTTTCCGTACCCACTGTATGATTCATGAAATAGATTGAAGAGGTGAAACCAAGTGGAAATTGTGATCCCTTCTGTCTAAAAAATGAAGAGAAAGGAATGAAGAGATACATTTTGTAAGCTGCAGATTCAGGTGATTATTTTTTCTGGGTTCATCGCCACAAGCCACCGTTCATGTCCTTGTTACCTTGTTATTAAAGCAATTGATGATTGTAGACATTTTAAACTAATGATTTCTCCATCTGTTATATACCAAAATGTATATTTATAACAGACCATATCATTTTTGACAGAGACAGACAGGTCAGCTATCAATGCTTCACATCGCTTGTTAACTTTTATGGATGTTGCTGAATTAGCATGTCAGCGGCAGTTTGCTTAATAAATGTGTCACAGTCTAGAGTATCATATATGAATTAAAAGAGGACCCTTTATAAGATGTATAAGTGACAGATGAAAATAGGATACAAGTGAAAAGAATGTGGGCAGCATGGTGGCGCAGTGGTTAGCGCTGTTGCCTCCCAGCAAGAAGGTTCCGGGTTCGAGCCCTGGCCGACCCAGGGCGCAGTTTGCATGTACTCCCCGTGCTTGCGTGGGTTCTCTCCGGGTACTCCGGCTTCCTCCCGCAGTCCAAAAGACATGCAGCATAGGTTGATTGGTGGTCTAAATTGCCCGTGTGTGTGTGTGTGTGTTTGTTTGTTTGTTTGTCTGCGTGTATAGAAAATGGATGTAGTAAGCAAAGAAGTATTACTAACTGGAGTTTATAGTTTTGTTTGTCAGTTTCTTGCTGTTTGAGGCATGATTTAGGAGGAAGCATCTCTCTGGTAGTAGGTGAGGATGCCGCTCTTCTGCATTTGTGGGATTCCATTTGAAGAAAGGAGGCCATGTGTAATGCTGCTGCTATGTTTAGAGCAAGGCCAGACAGCTTGGGATGGAGACGACAGAGGAGGACAGGGGCTGGCCAACTGGCAGGCTACTTACAGTAGCTCACAGGGTGGATGCCTGATTGGCTTTGGGGGGGGGGGGTTGTTGTTTTGTGGTGGTTGATGTGCCTTCATGGCTCACTGGGTGTTTTTTTAGATTACCTAATTAGCTTGGTGTGTTGGCTCATTGGCTGGCCTGGCACCTCAGCTGACTGCCATGCAGCCTGACCTGCAGTGTGTCAACGCTTAGAATGAGGTCACTGCTGCTGAGCCACTCAAACATGCATGTGACTGACATCACAGCTCCAGAACTTAGAGGAGGTCACATCTCTCCCTCTGTTAAGGACAAACAAAGCAGTTTTATTTTTTGTAGGGCTCATATTGTTGAAAAGTGAGTGTTGGTTGTAATTGTCAGGTTATTTTTGGCATGAGCATTTGTCCTAATATCACTTTTTGTTTGTTCATCTGTCTATTTGTATAGAAAGAAGGGTGCATAGTAAAGTGGCTTCATGCATCCTCGTGGCATCTAAGTGTTTTTGACTAATTTCAAATCAAATGTGTGACAAAAAGTATGTGATGGGCAGAATATATCAGCCACAAGGACAGAAGTAACTGGGGTTGCCTGTTTCCTGTTGTTGCATTAGATTAGATGAGTGCATAGTTGTTTTTGCTATTGTGTCTGTGTTTGTAAGTGATGCTGTCCCAGCCCTGAGCACAGATATCATTTTAGGAACGACCCAGTGACCCCTGGATTAGCCAAGAAGCATAATTTAATAAAGCCTATAATGGAAACAGTGGCAGGAAGCAGACAGTCTAATCGGTGTGCCTGTCCTACCGCACGTGTGGGAAGCCAGCATGGTTTTTGTATTGGCAAAGTGTAAATATCATAGTGAATAATATGCTTGGATGTAAAGGATAAGCCTAGCAATATTCAGCAGATCTTACAGAAAGACCAAAATCAAAAATGGCTCACAAAGATAGTTTCATTTTTAAAATAAGCTCAGTAATTTCCTAAAAGAGCTGCACACTGTGGATTTTTAGTAAAATCCCTCAAACTGCAGTAAATAGTATAATTTGGGGGGCTTTTTAGTTGCAGATGAATTCATTTGATTTTCTAGTTACTGTAGGATTTCTAGCAGCAATGTGATTTCATGTGGGATTGACTTTAATAAACTATGTGTGTCTGTGATAATGAAGGAACAAGTCACCCAGTGTGTCTCACTGATGTATTTTTAATAGATTCTGGACAACAATGATGCTCTGCGGCACAGAGGAATAAAATGTATCATGTTTTGGACACTCGGGTAGAAGGATGAGTTTATTATTGGATTCGCTTGATTTGTTGACAAGGAAGAGAATCTGTAGAGTAGCACCAGACTAATCCTTTAACTGCAGGCTCTCTGGGCTCAATAGAAAAACATTTTCAGAGACATAAAACACCAGTTATACACTTGATTTATAGAAAAGTGCTTTGACCTGCAAGTTAAGTAACCATGAAGACTGTAGCATCACCCTGTCTGTGACCTGTAATGGTTTATTAGAGCACAGCACTGAAAGGAGACAGTTCTCTAGGGCTGCAACTAATCATTATGTATATTTGGTATAAGATACCAATTCACTTTATCTTTCCTCACTCCACTTTCATCTAAGATGGTATCTTCCAGCTTCTGACTGACTGAACACACCTGAGCCAGGTAATCAGCAGCAGGTCAGGCAGGGGATAGTTGGAAAACAAGCAGGACAATGGCCCTCGAGGACTGGAATTGGCCACCACTGCCCTAAACTGTTAACTGTTTTATAAAGCAAATTCTGAGAATCTGTAGTGAGCAAATGTTTGTCATTTTTGCATAAGAAATTATTTAAGCAGTGATATAAATAGTTGCCGATTCATTTTTATGAATCAGCTAATCAATTACTCAGTTGTTAATTTTAACTCTGCATTTGTCCATATAAAAAAAAAAAACAACACTTACCGAAGAGCTGATAATGATCTGGGCAATTTAATCGTGGCACAGTTTTGCAGCCCTCTTCTACAGTGTGTTATTGCTCATATTAATATGTACAGCATGATTTGGATTATGTCCAACCTTGCTCTGTGTTGTTTAGCTGTGATTCCTTCAGGGTAGATTTAAAGCAGAGACACCACAAAGGTATGAATCAAGAGAGGTGAAATATATTCAGTTTGGCTTTCAGCGCTTTAATGTCTTTTTTTATTTGGAATACAAAGAAGACAGGTTCTCGCAAATATCTGAAATGGTGTGTTGTGTGTGACGGGGGCCTGTGTTTGCCCCATTAGTCATTCTGTCAGCAGGATATAAGGACCTTCAACACACAGACAAGCCATGGGCAAACAACAGTTAAGTTTTATGTTGATGTGGGCAGTTACAGTTGCTTTTTTATTTATAACTATGACAGTAATTGAGGGCCCAGATATCTGGGGTGGCAGTGGCTCATGAGGTAGGGCAGTCGTCTCCTGACCAGCAAGTTGGTGGTTCGACTCCCGGTCACCCCGCATGCCTAAGTCTCCCTGAGCAAGACACTGAACCCTGAATTGCTCCCGGTGGCTTGACTAGCACCGTTGTGTGGCAGCTGTGTGTGAATGGGTGAATGGTGTATCATCTCCTGTAAAGCGCTTTGGCCAGTGCAACACACTGTGGAAAAATTCACTATATAAATACAGTCTATATGCATTATGTTTTTGGGTTGTCGGTCCATCCGTCTATCCCATTCTCACGAATGTGGACAAACGTCCACTTGGATTCAAGGATGAACAAATTATATTTTCATAGTCAAAAGTCACAGTGACCTCATGTCTGTCCCATTCCCATGAACCTGGCTGGTTGGAGGTCATCAGACATCCAACAAAACATTGATACCTGAATTGGAACTCACATGTTCAGAATCAGTTAAATTCATGCACGTCTAAACTGGACTTAATTTGTACATCTGCTGACAGGAGTGATTATGATGCTTGGGTAAGGATCTGCTTCAGTCAACTGATTTGACCTCTTTCCCAGAAGGTAGTCAATGCAAGGCCTCTGTCTCTTACATCTCATAAAATTAGACACAGATATTCAAGTTCTGTCTTTTCATGATCAGTTACATTCCCATTAGCCTTGAGCTATATTTTGTGTTTATTTCTAGTTAGCAACTGTTGCCATAGGGTTGCAACAAACTGTTTAATTATCTGTCGATTATAGTTGATGTATTATTTGATTGTTTTGTCTAAAAAGTGAAACATGCCACATTTTCCCAGAGTTTAAAGTAATGTATTCAAATGGGATATAAAACATTACATGTATATAATTTGGAGTTTTCATGTTACACCTTGAGTTACTTATTCATTTTTATTAAAGTAGAAAAGATACACTATCAAACTGGCACAAAGGTAATTGTGCACAATGGAGACTACTGTGCATTTTATGTCATCAGTAACAGCAACAGGTTTTTTACTTGTCTTTGTAAAGGTTTGCTAAAATTGAGATCAGCGTGTCCAAGCCCATCATTCCATTCAGAGAAACAGTGGTACGTCCTCCAAAAGTGGATATGGTGAATGAGGAGCTGGGCAAGCAGCAGAAAGTCGCCATCATTCACCAGGTGAGTCAACTCCACAGTCACTGAACTGTAGCCTACATCAGCCTATCACCAGTTCAGCTTCCTGTTCTGTAAGCTGTGTTAGGAACACATTTTTGAAATTATTTATACCGATGACTCATCTCTCAGTACAAGTTATGTTGGGTTGTTGTGTTTAGACATGTTGGTGTGTATGTTCCTAGGTGAAAGAAGAAGCCTCTCAGGGTCGCTCGTCTGACACCCTGCATGTGGATCCCAGTGGTCTGGTCACCCTCACCACTCCCAACCGACTGGGCACTGTCAGCGTACGGGCGATCCCACTGCCACCGGGTAAGACCTGGGGACACAGTAATTCTCACTAGGTGTCATAGTCTAGGTTGTATGTTACATAATTCAACAGTGTGTAAAAGCAAAAATGTTGATAATTGTTCTGAATTACCACACTGCAAAGTTATGCTGTCCTAGAGAGAATCAATACATGATGATTTGTAACAATGAAAATAACGGCACACACATGTAGGGAGTCACTGGTATTCACTGTTTTGCACTCAGCTGATTAGTTCACATCCTGACAATTCTCATGCTTCAGTTAGCAGCAGTAGGAAGGGACCAGTGACGTGCGGTCAGGGGAGGCAGGTGAGGCAGAGCCTCCCCTGTCAATCTTGAAAAGAAAGAAAAGTTAACCATAAAATATAATAAATGTTAATATTTGTCGGCTGGTGTGTGTTGTAGGCCCTTTTGCCGTTGGAATCCAATGTTGAAGGAGTTTTTTTCAGTAAAGAATAGCAGAATTTCCATATGTCCCGTTCAAATACATGGAGGAGATGCGCGATGAGGCAGCACTTTGCTGTGCCTCTCAGTGGATCGTGTAATCCTCACAAACTGTATGCGATGCAAATAGTGTGTCGCTGTCCCTCTATATATCACAAATAAAATGTGACGAAAAATACCTAACACCTGTCTTCACTTCTCGTGCTTCCAACAAAAAAATTGGGTTAATTTCTAACAAAAAGGTTAATTTCTAACAGTATAAAATTAGTTCTGTAATGTGTTTAGGCTCGCAGATTAACCATAAAACCCAGTAAAAAAGTTACTTTGTGAGGCAAACAGTACGCTTGCCTCAAGGCAGAGGGCGCTTGTGAGCCCACAGATTCCTGTGCTACCTACAATCTTCTTCGTGCTTGTTTATATTTCCTTTACAATCCGCCTTATCAAAATGGAAGATTACATTTCCAAACTAACTAAACATTTTTGACAGTCTGGACATTTTTATCCAGAAGGATCTTCTTTATTGAAAACATTTGCTTTAATATTGGATTTGAACGGTAAAAGGGTTTGTAATACATACCAGCTGACAAATGGATTTCGTGTACAAGTAAAGGTAAGACCATAAACTTTTATTATTTCTAGTTAGAAATAAGCTCAACTGGAATAAATTTTAACCTCAAATTAAATATGGGTCACGTTTGTGTGAAGAATGCTGATATGAGATATAAAACATAACGCATTGTCTGTTAACAGACAATTTGTTAACAGTTCATTTGTATTTGTAAATCTGACTGTAAAAGAGTCAGTGCCTCACCAGCTGTCAGCCTCACCTCACGTCACTGGAAGTGACAGATCCTAGCATTTGATCTTAAATATAAAATCCAAGTCAGCATAAAGATATGTAACACATCTTTATTTTGCCATTCATTACACTCCTTAGTCCTGATTTTTGATAATTCCATCAATGGCTAGATGAATCCAACAGTTTCAACTAATTGAACAAAAATGGAATAATAAACTAGATTGGAATAAATCTCTATTCTGCAGTTATACAGTGCACCTCATATGAATGCAGTTGAGCCCTAATGGAATTTATTCTAGTAAATCAAGGGGCGATGTAGCTTGGGACCCCGGTGAATGCAGTTAATTATGTGTTTGGATATTAAAATTAGCTTGTTATGTCAAGGAGACTAGGTTAAGCACAACTGAAATAAAACTGTTCACTAAATACCAGATGTGATTTGTAAAACTAGATGTTCGTAATTGATGGAATCTTTAATGAAAACTGAAGCTATAGGCCCGTCATTTCACTGTTTGATACACATGTCAGTAATGCTGTTTGTTCCATCAGAAGTGACCTGTGTGTTGGAAAGTAGCTCAGAGCTGATTCGGACTCTGAACATGTCTCTGAGGGAGAGAAAGAGTCTGGACATCAGCCTCAGGACCCTGGAGGCCATCGCTGGACTCAAGGCCAAGCTGGAGAGCCTGTTGCAGGGGAGGAAGTGGAGGAACACCGTGGAACGTATCTGGGCCTTTGGTCCTCGCAGGTCTGATACTGACCTAAAAAACATGGACATGGGTCACATGGAACATACAGTACAGTAACACTACTGATAATAAGAACAGAGTAGACTGATCTTTTCCTAAAGAATGTTTGGCCTTGACTTACCCTCAAATAAGGAACCTAATTTTATCTCTTTTATATACATTTTTAATCATGTTTTAGATTGAGGTCCTCCTGTTTTCTATTCTATTACTGTTTTAATTTGTGTTTGATGCTGTTTGTTGTTAATGCACACACAGCACTTCTTCGCCATTTTTTCCTGTTGGCTTGATAAATTCGGGTTAAAGGATAAGTTCACATTTTTTCATTTCGTTTTTTACTGGCCCTTATGTACTTTGAAACTGTTTTTGTTAACTGTTATCATTTCTCCTCCCCTTCATACCTGCCGCTAAGAGATCCTTTTCCAATGCTCACAAAGAAATGCAACAAAGAAAACATTCCAATGTTTAGCCGAAGCTAATATGTAACTTAACCAGTCTTGGTTGATATATTTTCCAGACTTTCTCTTTGAGTTACTAATCCGTCCATCACAGCTGAGCATAATAGCACTTGTAGGAGAAACTCAGAGGGATTGTTACACCTAAACAGCAACCTAAAGCCGTTTTCACACATGAACTCCATATTATGTTTCACGGAATCAGGCCTGGACTTTGTCGAGTTGCCCTTTCACACATGTAGCGCACAACAGGAGATAGTCTGTGTCAGACATCTTCTGATTCACGACGTGATCACTAAGCCAGTTTGTAATTTGGTCATAAACAACCAAATTTCCTGCCTTCTCTGACAATTCTGGCGCTGGCATTTAACAACAAAACTTCCTGGATCTTGGTGTGTTTCCACTGTTATACCCCAGTTCTTTTATTGGACAGATCTGAGTAAGGAAGGAGTCAGTCTTTCTTGATTTTAGTGCTGGTTTATTTAAAAAAAATATATATGAATAAAGATTACAGAACACAATCCGGGTTGTTCCTTCCTCCAAAAACACACACAGTCTGGCTGCTGGAGCCAGGAGATCTCGGAAACCCAGAGCCTAATACATTTATCAGTTTTGGGTCAGATGAAGTCCGTCCAGCAGACTCCATCTCTTATCTAGAGCTCCACAGGCTTGGAGCAGCTGCATATTACCTAGTCATAACAAAATGAGGTAGCTCGATGTTGTTACGTGGTGTGTAACTAAAACATTCACTCAAACATAATTCTAACACAAGGTTAATATGAGAAAACAATTGGTGCCAAGGTACTCTTTTCAGAATCAACATTATCTTCTAACCTTAAAGCAGAGTAGACTAGAGCAGACTTTGAATCTTACTAAACTACATTACTAACACATTAAAATCTAACACAATGTCTAATAATTATCTGACTGATTTATTAATTTCTAACACCACTTAGATATTTTTGTTGGTGTCTCTATTATAAATGACCATTTTTCTTGACCATCAAATGTTTCTGTTATTCTGGTTTTGTACTGGTCACATAATAGAATGTCATCAACAAGCCCATTAGCTCTGTGTGAATACTCCGGCCTATACACTGCTGTATTCTCACATGGCCTCACTCAGAACGTAGGCAGACTTTGTACTAGGGAGCTGGCAGAGTAAAGTCTGCTTACAGTCCAGGTCGACATTTGGGTTCTGACATACACCGGGTAATGTCTAGAGAATTTCAGGGTTCCAGTACATGTTTGAAAAGGGCTTAAGAGAGTACATACATGTATGACAATTATTTTGAAATCTAAGAAACACTTCAATCCTACTACTAACCATTCTGTTTCTCTTGCTAACAACAACACTGTTTTCACATGCTAATTATTTCAAATCTTTTTGTTATTTATTCAGTAGTGTTAGGTTATTTCTGAGTTAGATAGATATTCAGAGATTTGTTGTCTAGAAATGTTTAGTGGAGACAGGATGTCTAGCTTAGGCTGTTAACTGCTCAGTTTAATTTCATGTGCTTGCAGTGCAGACTGCATGTAGGCCAAGGTTGCAGGCAAAGAGCTGTTAGTATTAACTGTAATGCTAATCTTAATATTTGTCTTAATGTGTAATGTCATGTCAAATTGTTCTAGATACACACCACAAAAACAACAGCCACACACCTTGACTTTTCCTCATGTTTTGACTAACGTTATGGTCAGCTGCAAGCTGGCATATCAGGTGACGTCACGGTTTGACGCCCCTGCGTAGCATGGGCTAGCCCAAAATGATTAAAATTATATAGGTTTCATGGTCCAGGGTCTTTCATCTTCCAAGCTGCCTGCGCGCGGGTTGGTGGTGGGAGA